CATGTGCATGTGAGAACTCCGAAAACAACACCCCCCCCTTGAAATACATTTCCAGAGCTGGGGTATTGTATTGTGGCATGTACACCACCCCCCGAAATACATTAGTTAGGCCGGAGTCTTTCTCCGCCGTTGCCATGAGAACTTCCAGCGCACTCATGAGTACAGCATCAGAACTGTGCCGTTTTTTGCCTGCTATGAGCAACAAACTCGGGGGTGGTTGAGATTTCGGGGCCATAGGTATCTGTCTGCTTGCTATTCTCAGCTAAGAGTTCAAAAGACTTCCACTCGAAACCGCAGACGCCTCCTGCTTGTGGGGTAACTGTATAACTATGGTAACAGTATTGAATAGTATAGCTATAGTAACAATGTTAAGTAGCTATAGCTATAGTAACAGCATGAATGGTATACTCAGACTTTTTTGCAGAGTCCTGGCCCTGGAGGTCGAACTCTGCTGGCCATGAGGACACCTCCGGGCCTCGGCCGGGGGCAGGCGGTTCTTTGGATGTTTCGGACTGATACTCAATACTAGGAACCGGGTTATTTTGGCGGGGTACATCGTAATAGAGGTATATAGGATGATAGGCAGGACTGCAAGAAGGCAGACAGCTTCAAGTCTTGACACTTGGTAGCCTCTCCACATCACGTGTGTAAAGTAGGCTCCATCTCGCTGGATGCTGACCGTCGCCTTGCTTGCAAGACTATGCCCGGTTTCAATCTTGACCTATAGGGCCTGTATCGTATCGAAATTTCACGGCTTGGGCCGATCTTCCTATGCCTCTGCTTTCCGGAACTGTTCTGCCGCAACTTGCATGGGAGCACAGCAAAGGGCCAGGCACAGGTTGAAAGACCAAGACACCGCACAAGCCTGAGACCCCGTGCTCCACTGCTCGAATGTCCTGTGTGCCAGGAAGAAGCGATGCTGCAGCAGCGACCTGAGCTCCAACGAATCCCAAGAGGTTTCCCTAGCTGCAACTGGTGGACTGTAGAGCTTGCTAAATTCCGGCCACTCGGTGCTGCCCAAGCCACGCAGTCGCCGTGTGTGACCACCAGGAAATTTCTAGCCTGGCATGCGACCCGCGACCAAACCAAGGCAGGGCATGCTGTCAACCATTACCCCACCGCACAGCCCCGGTGCCTTGTCCGTACCTCTCTGGACGTAGTGAAGGAAGGACTCGGCGAACCGCTGCCGCCCTGGTGACACAGGAGGCACTGTGTAAAGGTTGCCGCTCTCGAAGTTTAGGGCATGCCTGACTGGAAATTACGCGCATCTCCGGTGTCTTTATAGATCTTAGTTGCAGAGCTGCAGCTTTTTCTACACTCACCCAGGAGCTCAGCACAATGGAAGGCTCCAAGCCCTCGTCTGCCTTCGGTCATGGTCTCAGGCCACTGCGGCTGTGTCCCGACCTCAGCTGCGGCTCGCGCTGTGATCGTGAAAATGGCCGTTGCTTTCATCGCTACTGCTTGTGTTCGTCTTGGCCTATGAAAGCTGCTTGTTCAGACTGTCGACTTCTGGTGCGTCTTCTAGCAACTCTTTCAGAGGTTTGGAGCCGCTCTTCTGCCCAAATCAGGCACCTTCATCGTAATTAACAAATTTGCACAGCGGCCTGGGGCTTCTTCCGGACTTGTTCTTGCGTGTGGGGCAACGTTAGCTAACCTTTCGGAACTTCTGCATGATTGCAAATGAGACGAGTGCTGACTGACCTGCTTCCCAGCACGTGTTCTGGACGGTGTTTGCAGAATCCAGGCGACGAAAGAGAAGAATTCTGACGCCGATTCTTGCTTGAAAGGGTTGACAGAATAACCTTCTGTTTCCACTGCTTGAGACCACGGAGCGCGTTTGTCTTTGACAGAACGGGAACCTTACATGCTCGAACAACACCCCTTCGCCAAACCCCTGAAGCCCTATGCACTACTAAACCCAGCCTCGAAAGCCCTAGTTCGATCCGAAACCAAACCCTAAAAAGCCGGTGAAAGGCTTCACACAAGACTTCTGGGTGTCGGACACAGACCGGAGCAACCCGGTGAACTCCTCGAGCCTTGCACTCCTGTGCACATGCGACGAGGGTGGTGGGGGGGGGTCTATTGAAATTGGGAGGCAAGCTAAGCAAGCTTCTTGAGATTTCTTGAAAGCTTGCGGCAATGCAGAGTAGCACCTATGCAGCTCCGTGCCTCCAGGATGGTGTTGAAATCTCGGTAGACATGCTCCGGCTGCTCTTTACTGATAACGCTGGGGCCGAAGATTTCCCCGCAAGACGCATCGAACATCAGGATTGTCCTGACATGCAGCTGGCATTCATTCGCACGTCTTGACATGCCAGGCAAGTAGAGCTGTGTGTTCATTGCTGGGTTTGTACAGCCAAGAAGATTCTGAGCAGTAGTGCAAAGGCAGCACACGCGGCAGGACGATGACAGAACCATCACGTTTCAAGGCGGTCTGGTAGCCTGAAACATTGACATACGTGGAGCTTTGTCTGGGGTTTCTTACTGCGCAATTCACAAGACCGGGTGACCAAACAGGCAGAGGAATTAAAAGAGGGACAGCGCACTGGCAACCTCTGACTCTGTATGAGACAAAGCCGAGCATCGAAGGGCCGAGAACTCTGCAAATCGATGCGGCTGTTTGCACGCACCGCAAATATGGTGAGGAGACGACTACCTGAGTGACGTGTCAATTGAGTACCATAACAGAGCGTGTGGGCTTCAGCTGAACATGCGGATGGACACACAAGATTCGCTTGATGGCCCTCCAGCCCTCCAGCAAGACATCCATCCATTTTCCCATGGTCGCGAAAGCTTCTAAAACACCAAAAGCTGAACGGTGCTCCAGAAGTCTATCTATCCGCGAGCAAGCCGCATGAATCGTTGTGTCGTGCTGGTCCACAAAATCCTTGATGCTGTGAGCAGTTTCTATCGCTCCCGCCTCTCCATCATCACCTGACACGACAAGGAGCCTTTTCCGATGATATAATAGAAGCTCTCTAAAACCTATGGCCTACAGCACAAGAGCATACAGGAGCTGAACACAACATCACGTAGATGGAGTAGATCAAAGGATTCGAGCTTGAGCATCCTTGATATCTTCTGTGTCTCGGCATCAGGGCTTCAAATCCATGCACATCGAAAAGGCAAGATGACAGTCGTGTCTCCTGTATGACACTTCTATATCATTCGGCAGCCGTGCCACCAAAACTGCTAGAGCCTCAACGACAGAATGGTTTCTCCAGGATGCAATGTAATGTAAGACATGCCAGCTGTGCTCAGAGGAGGATCAAAGGGAAACTGCTCATACTCCTCCGACTGCACGTACGGCGCGCCCCTGGCAGAAAGGAGACTGCACTTACTTGGCGGGTAGTGACGGGATTGCCCAAGGCCGTGAAACATTAAGGTGGGTTGTTCCACCCTGCCCGCCTATATAAAGCATAGGATGCATCTGCACGCTCGGCATGCCGAGCAACGCAGCAAATCTGCGTTGACCGCAAGTACCTGCGTCATAGGAGTGCGGCAGTTGTTTTCAAGAATGCATCATCCCCTGGTCCCCCAGTCCAGTCCATAACGGGTCGGTGAATGCAGGACAACAACACTTACATCAGTGACATAATCATAAACCTGCAAAGGAATGCATGATGATGCCGAGGACAACGACATCTGTGTTGGCGCAAGGAGGAAGATGAAGGATGGGAAGTGGGTGAGGGCACGAAGGGGTCGGCTTCATGCAGCAACTTCGAACAGCATAGGGGAGGCGGGTAGGCAACCTGGTCGAATCGCACAGTCCTTGCCTAATGTCGGCAGTCGGGCAAGGTGAGCTTGGCTCAACCAAAAGCACCTGAGCCACGTGATCGTAGCAGTAAACAAGTGCTGCGACGCATGACTTCGAATCATGACTCTATTTTTACATGGTGTGTTCCAAACAAAGGCTTATTGAGATCTGAAAAGGCTTTGCGGCATGCCCCGTGCAAAGGCAGAAAAGGACCACCACATCGTCAGGAAGCAGCGCTTTAGAGTAGTGCACAACCAGCGGCGAAAGATCATGGTCAGTCTGCATTTTGCCAAGTTGCATCGCATTGGTTCATCATGATGAGCTGTACTCGGCGTAGGCCCGAAACTCCTGCGCTGAAGCTTCCATTCCGTCTAGGCTGGCCATCCTCGACCCTCCGGGGACTGTAGGAATATCCTAGGCCGGGAAAATACTTGTCACATGTGACGGACCACTGTTTGTTCATTGATCTAAGCCAACTTAATTGATAGAAGAGAACAGGGCATAGCGCTCTCAACAAGCGCAGCCGAACGGCAAGTCTAAGCTACGGCATGCTGACCGCTTCGGAAAATTCCGGGCCTATCCTTAGCAGGCAAGAAGTAAAAGGCCTGAGAGTCTTCGAGATCCCAAGCTGACTCTTGGGCCAGTTCGCTACATTCCAGATCCGAAAAAAGCACGCAACTCACTCTTCAGACCCGGTGTAAGCAAACGTCGATGCTTGAAGCTTGACTTCAATGTAGAACAATTGAAAGCAAGGCCTGTTGCTCAATGCTTCGCGTTCCTTTCTCAAGTCCCAAAGACCAACTTCTATCCTGAACCCGGGAGCGACTAGGTGTCTCCTTAGTTTTGGCCGACCAAGTCCAACTGATTTCGTCGGCTGCGCCGCATGGCGCTATGGCATCTGGTGCCTTCTGGAGCCAAAATGTTTCGACATCGAAGCCATGCACACTCCTCGTCGTCATCTGGGCGCTACACGCGATCTACTACAGCAGATAGTGCTGTGTCATATGCACACATGCACACACACGAAGGGCACGCACGTTCACGTGCGCATCCCGCTTTTTCAATCAATATGTCTTCTTGTGTAGTTATGGCATTCTCAGAGCCCCCTTAATCCGTGGCCCGAACGGCGCCCGTCTCTTTCCTCGAGCCAACCTGGCAAAGAACTGCCCCAGCGTTCGCAGCAATGACAACAAGCTATCAGAAGAAATGCTTGAACAGTCAAGCCCAGCAGCATTCACTGAAGTGCAACACACATGAGGCAAAAGAGTGGATCACTCGTAAGAGATAGCTGTCAACATCATCGGTGACTTTGCACTCGTGCTGCTGTATGGAGGCCCCTTTGGACGTTCTGCTGGTTACGGCTGTGCAGTACCAGCTTTGCTTGATTAGAATAGGGCTTGCGGGCATATGACAGTCAACTTGCACTAATCATTCAGAAAACCTAGGACCTAATGAATGATATTGGCACCTATTCAGGTCACGATGGTAAGCTGGAAGTAGACTTTGCTCTCCTTTGGTGTGGGCCGGCGGCACCCAAAGGCCCCGGGTGTATGGATTGGATATGACAGCTACATTCTATCAGGCTGACCTTGCCGCCCCGGTGCTACGGAATTGCGCCTTGGGTCGTGTCGGCACAAGCACAGAAAGGTCATTCTGATGGATTCTTGGTTTCAAAAGGTCGCACGCAATGACACTTTCTCCTCTGAGGCACCGAAGCTGCAGCAAGGGCACAAGCACTGTTGCATGGTGCGATCGCGGCAAGAAAAGCCAGACCAAGGTTTCGGAATTACCTCCCCGAGGCGGCTCTTTCCTTTGGCATCTGCTTCCGGCACGCGCCAGCTGTGGCTTGGGCATTGCAGAGCAACGGCATAGTCTAAATTTCACATGCTGGGTGGTGATCACAGCCACAGCCCTATCCAAGCTGTCCGTATTGCCTGAAGGAACCTGCGGCTTTCACAGGTCGCAGGAGCGATGCCTACATCTGCGAATTGCTAACCGATCAAATCATACTTCGCAAACCCGAGGCTTCGAGCTCATGAGCACCTTGCAGTTTCTCTGGGGACACCAAAAATCAACCTAGAGCTCGTCTGCCTGGGCTGCAGGGTGCTTAAAAGCTTTTTTTGAGTAGGGCATGGTCGTTGTTGAAACAATGCGGCACAGGAAGCATGGACATCCCCATCCCCATCCAAACACTGTACTCGCGCTATCGAGTAGCTGGGACCGACAGCTTTCAGTCCCTGTTTCCTCTGCCGTGAAGCTAGGCTTAAGCGGCCAGGTGCCCTTACCAAGGCCAGCTCATCAATGAGCCAAGAGCTCAGTCGATTGCTGATATCTCAACTCAGTCAGCTTGCTGACAGCTACTCACGCATAGTTCAAAAGTGCAAGGAATATATGGCTCTCTGCCATTTAAATGCATACTCGGAATTGACGTAAGGCACTTCACCATCTTCAATGACGTGAACAAACACCCATTCCTGCCCTGCTTGAAACCTCGGTAGGTGAACGACTGGCAGCAACTTCAGAGTAAGTTCGTCCACCTTAGATAGAACCTTGCCTGTCGCACATCCTCGGCACTCCACGGCACGTGACAAATGTACTCCGTACCCCCAATGACGGCAACAAAGTGCCTGGATGCCAGACTTCGGATGGACACTCTGTCCAACTGCAGCATGCTTTGCTCCTTCTTTCCCGTTCAAGATGGAGCAACAGCAAACACGGCGGTTCCAGCTACATGGCTGCATGAAGCTTGGTCGGAAGGGCTAAAGCCTGTCTGCTGCAGCTTGAGCGAGCTCATCCGTCTGCCTTGCCCAAGGTCATCTCTGTACTCACCGGTAGTTCCTCGGCAATCATTTACTAGCAAGGAGTCGCAGTCCTGCTGCCCGCTGCTACAGAGTCCGACTCGAGCTAGCCGAAAGTTTCTACCACCTCCACTACTTCTCGCATCGTGTTAAAGCTCCCTTTGCCGTGCAGGTCTCGGATTGTTGGCATCGAAGCCCAGGTCTGTCGCAGCCATCTTTGTAAACTTCTTCTTCTCCTCGCAGGCAAGGCACACATTAAGGCGATGCTGCAACCATGGGAGTAATCGTCGTCGTCGTCACCGCCGCTGCGGTCGTGGCGGTGGTGGTGGTGGTAGAGTGGCAGGCAAACAGCTTTAATACTGGCTGTCTGTAGCCGCCATGACAGTGAACGGATCTAAAAAGGCTTTGTATTTCTGCTGTGAAGCGAAGCACCGGTCGCGGTCCTTCTTTTTGGGCTGCGGGGCTGCCACCTTCTTCGTGTTGCCCGGCACATGTGCAGCCTCGACCTGTTTGTCATCGAGAGCCGATGGAAAAACTGCATCTTTCATTCTACAATAGGGAAATACTAATCACCATCGTAGGAATCACAATGGCCGAAAGAGCTGGAAGTTGTGCTAGCAGAAACGCTGGGAGCAGGAAAAGGATAACTACGGTAGCGGCAATGGAAACAGGAATTAACAAACTCATGCTTTACAATACGCCGTCGTCGTCGTCGTCGTTGCAGCGCAAGTAGCAGCATGCGGCAGGAAGAGCAGGACGAGGAGAAGAAGGAGGAGGACTGGTAGTGGTGGTGGTGGTGGTAGGAGTAGTAGTAGGAGGAGGAGGAGTAGTAGTAGTAGTAGTAGTTGTTGTTGTTGTGCGGTAGAAAAGACAAACATTGTTAATTGTGGCTCGCATAGCGCCTCAGCAGCCCACCTGTAAGCTTTCTGCGCATGCGGGAGCCGCGCTGAGACGAAAGCTCAACAATGGACTGGGCTTGCGACGCAGGACTGGGACATGCACTCAGATACATGGTTTTCGAGAACTGGACGAAATGCCCATGTGAGGAACTGGACTCACAAGCAGTGTTGCTACCGAAACCAAAACATTAAATCCTGTAGACAATGCAGTGCGCAAACGCTCATGAAAGGAGCTGGACCCAGAAGAACTCGCATGTCAGTGCATCTTGAGACTTTGTTGACGCCAACATCAGCTGCTTCATGGGAAGGGATCAAACGAAGTCCTGCAGCCAGCATCAGCAGCATCAGAAAAGGCCCGCCACTCCCCCTAGAATCCCAGGCAAGAAATTTCACCTCCATCCACTACCTGCACAGATGAAGTTGAAGTGCGATCCTCGCGCATCCGAAACCTGGGCCTGAACGCCGGGTTGAAGGCAAAAGGGGCAAAGGCTAGCAGTTTCTTAGTGGAGATCGTGCCTGTGCAGCTTCCTGCAGCGAGGGGCCCTCCAGCCCCTCAGCCACGTGCCTGAGCCGGAAGCGGCTTCACCCCTGGAATGGTTTCGTGTTCCTGCTAGTTCTCATGTCTAGTACTGTTCATTTTGGTAGCTGGCACCACTGCTATAGAAGATAGTTCAGAAAGGTATTGGACTCCACTATACTGCAACATACTCTAATATGATGCAATATAAACCGAATAGAATGCATAATCAGAAGACACAGTATATGTATTAATCTCATCTCATATTTATGATATTATCAACAGCCTATGTTACATCGTCTGTCTTCGGTAATTTCAGGACTGCCTTCTGCCTGTGGAAGACTTTCGCTGCTCATCATGGTAGGTACATCTGGGAGAGTTCATCCCAGCTGTTGAGATCTGCGCGTTCTCAGCATGCGATGGGCTTCTGGCACTCAGCGGCTACTTCGCGAAAGATCTCTCGTCATTCCAAGCCTCTTCTTCAGCTCAGTTTGGCCGAGTCGCGCATCTTCTGCGTCGGCAGCCGAGTCCGCCGAGCCCCATTTGTTCTCGATGACAATCTGCGAGCATTCCGTGACTTTGTCGCATTTCCCCTGCTTCTCGGCGTGCTACCAGTCTCAGTGCTGTCATGAAGCTTACAACCTTCTGGTACTGACACAATGATGCATTTTGCTACTCATTGCTGTCCTAACGACTATTTTGCGAGCTCCAGCGGGAAATCCGATCTCGAAACCCTGGCTCCAAAAACTGAGCCCTACACAAGACAACTGGAGCCTGGGACCCTGCCCCAAACACTCAGAGCCGCCTTCTTCACGGGGGCCTTGGTCGGAGCCGCAGTCGAAGCCTTTGGCT